TGTCTCCAAAATTCACAAAATTAAATAAAAAATAAAGCTATATGATTTTAAAGAGAAATGTTGAGAACAGATTTGGTCCTTCAGTCCCTTTTTAAAGAAAGACAATTTGCCAACTGGAAAATTTAATAGCCAAGTTTATTGCTTAACTATCCAGTCAACAATTAGGATTACCAATAATCAAGAACGGAGAGCTATCAATTTGACAAATAGTGTATTTTATTTTCTTTGCTATGGCTGAATATGTCACTAAATAAAATAGGACAGCATGTCACTTGACTATCACCAAAATAACTGTTACAACATTTATGTACAATAATTTCAATGATAATAATGTTACTATTTCCACATTGCCCCAGAGATCAAAGCACTGAAATAGTTGCACTGTCTTTTAGCAAATGTATATGTATACTAAAACTGGTAGGCTCAGAAAGTCACTGTTTTGTATCATATGTTAACAATATAAATAACAATAAATTGGTTAGGCACAGAAAGAATATGAATAAACTTAGAGATTCTACTAAGATTCCAGTGCACAAAATACACACCAAGAGTTTTGCAAACCAAATTCAAATTTGGTTTGGTGTTATAAATTATACAGCTTTAATAGAAAAGCTGGGATCCAAAAATTCATGTGATATATTTAGTTTATGGGATAAACTACCCTTCATTTTTGTGCACTCCTTTAAGAAAACATCCTTGAAAGTTACTTTGGAATAATAACACTAGGGTGTGGGGGAGGGGGCACTGGGATGGTGGTAGACAGTAAGTAAAAAGGTTAATTAATTTCCTTCCAGTGAAAGTTCTTTCCAATTGTGCATGGAGTATATAATTCACAAATTTCTAGAACAAGTAAGTTTCATAAATGAAAATATGGTTTGGTGCCCCTTTAATAAATAGTCACAAAGCATTTTTAAAAATTGTTTTGATGCTGTATGAAATGTCTGAAACCCTTTCCTATAACAAGCATACTAGTATATTTATGTACAATTATAGGTTAATATTTTTGTTTCTACATTATTAGCATTGTATTTATGGAAAAAAAAAACACCTGTTATTTGAAGATGTCCTTCAACAAAAGAAAGTTAACTATTTTAGAAATATTCCTGTATTGCTGTATTTTCAGTGAATTTAAGATATTCGTCCCATTTTCAAAGATTAATTATTTGGGATTTCCTTCCCAATAATTGCTGTGTATTTTGTGTACTGGTGCAAACTTGTAATTGTACAAACAAATAAGTCTAGTTTTGTTACGGTATTTGAACTTAATAAAGTTGTGACTGCCTCAGTTGCAGTTGAAGATACGCTTCAATTGGGCAGTAAAAACGATAAACCATGATTGTAAATTCTATCTCAATGAAAAATGCTTGTTAGTTGGGGAAGGACTAGAACTTCTGATAGAACCAATTATCATCAGAACTGAAAAGCAAGAAGCTCTGCATGAAGTACTGATAAAACTAATGTCTTTAAGCTTTTAAAATAATTCAAATTTAAGTATTGTAAAGAACGTTGCCAAAAAAAAAAAAAAAAAATGCAAGGGATTAGTCCAGGCAGTCACCAGGATTCAAAACTGGAAGGCCGGTCTATCTATCTATCTATCTATCTATCTATCTATCTATCTATCTATCTATCTATCTATCTATCTATCTATCTAGTATCTATAGCAACTATGAGAAAAGATTGAAG